CCCCCCCCCGCCCCACTCTAGGGGACTTAACAAATCAGTGGTTTGGATCAAAGAGCTCTTGGTAAAAAAAAAAAATGTTACTTATTTTGGGCATCATTATCTTGATCTGTCTCCAGTGCAGCTGGAGAGCTGCCAAAGGGGCCACCTCCAGGCTAATGAAACCCCTTGCTGCCTGCTCCCGGCACATTGGGAGGTGGTGAGAGCTGGTCATAAGGGGAGGAGTGTTGGAGGAGGTCAAGGAGAGGACGTGACTTCTGGGTGACTCTGAGAGCTACATCCGGACAATCAGAGGCTTCTCACTCCGTGTGTCCTTGGCTTGTCTTCAGCTTGCCTTCTCCACACCAGAAGCTGCCCCAAGGTTGCAGCTTTGAGAGAACAAGATGTTATTGTGACCATCTGGACCGTATATATGTGATTGAACCCAGTTAAGGCCATTATATAAACATTTACCATCCTGGCGGGTGGGTGCGGAGATGTGCTCTACTCGCGGAGCCCAAGACAAGCCTTGCCGGTAAGTTCCCTTGCTTACTAAACCTGCCACCTGCCAACCTGCGGTGCCCACTCCTTGCCCTCTAGGTACAGGGCCGGTTTGTGAACCAACAAATCATTATTTGGACTTTCTTATGGGGTCCATTAATATATTATGTTAATAAGTTTCATAATGTAATGTCAGGGTCACTCTTACGAGAGAAAAATCTCGTATCAAGTGGATGTTTGCTGTTGAACACTAGACTGGCATTTTATTTGGAAATTTTGCATCTATATTTATAAATAAAATTGCTTTATAGGGTGAGTATATTTTTGGACAGTTTATAAAATCTGGGTTATTTTATGAAGGGCATTGTATAGCTATAATAGTTTTCTAAGGCTTTGGGAGGGCTTAATAATATGGAAATTACAACTCTTAAATATTAAAAAAAATCCATGGTAAACCTTTAGACACTGGTCTTTTTTGGAAGTACTATGTTGATAAAAGTTTGAGTTTATTTCATGATAATTTAGGGAGTCAATGTCTCCTTGATTTTATTTGGATAATTTCCTAAAAATTTATTTATTGAATTTGAGTTCTTTTGCAAAATTATAAAAAAACAAGTTTTCAATTTTTTCTCTATCTGTGCTTTTTCATATTAATACCTTGAATACTTTTTTCCTCCTGTAATATTGAATTTTTAAGAGGAAAATATTTATCTAAATTGTTTTCCAAAGAACTAATTTTTTGATTTATTCAATTGTGATTTTCAAAAGAAAAGTTTATTCATGTTGTCTTACTCTGCTTTATCCTTTTACTATCCTTAAGTTTGGTTTTGTTTTTTTTTTTTTTGGCTTCCTTAACTCTTACATTGGCTTGATAATGAAATTTAAATGTTTTAGTATAATTACAAACCAGATACATGTTATTGTAAAAAAAATTTGAACACAAAAATAAATTACTTAAGTTTATAGATTTACCTTAGAATATAACCTTGACAGGGGCACCTTGGTGGCTGGTTAAGTGTCTGCCTTCGGCTCAGGTCACAATCTGGGGGTCCTGGGATCAAGCCCAGGTGGCTAGCTCCCTGCTGAGCAGGGAATCTGCTTCTCCCTCTCCCTTTGCCTCTCCCCCCAACTCCTGCTCGCTCGCTCTCTCTCAAATAAATAAGTAAAAATCTTAAAAAAAAAAAAAAAAAAAGAATATAGCCTTGGCAGAAGCTCACTAATTTTTATGTATTTTCATTTTCATTTTGTTATGTAGTTTTAAAGTTCCAGTTTTGGTATATACCCTGACCAAATAGTTCAGTGAGATGTTTTATTTTTTTATTGTTATTTTTAAAGATTTTATTTATTTGACAGAGCCAAAGTGAGCCCATAAGCAGGGGGTGCGGCAGAGGGAGAGGGAGAAGCAGGCTCCCCGCAGAGCAGGGAGCCCGATGTGGGACTCGATCCCAGGCCCTGGGATCGTGACCTGAGCCGAAGGCAGACGCTGAGTCATCTGAGCCACTCAGACGCCCCTAGTGAGATGTTTTAAAATTTCTAAATATGTGGGCTATTTTATTGTAACTATTGTTACTGTATTTTATTACTAAGTGATTATAGTCAGAGAAAGTGAGTTACAATTTTTGTTTTACTTTTTCTTTATTTGCAAATTGGCTCAAGATTTTGTACATGTTACATTGATTCTTGAGAAGATAAATTCTCTGTAAGGTACACAATTTAATATCAAGGTACTAATTTGTTTATATCTTTGAACTGAAACTTGTATTCTTTGAATTGTCTAGGTATTTCTTTTCTACTTTATTAATCAAAATCTGAGAGAAATGTTACTATAACTTGGGGAAACTGAAAGTCATAGTTCCAGTAAGTATGGGTTCTGAGTCAGACAGGTTGGGCCCAAATCCTAGCTCTGCAAATTCCTACATCCGTGTTTTAAATCTCAGTTTCTCTGTCTGAAAAAAATGGATAATAATACATGGTTTCATTTGATTGCTATGAGTATTAAATAAGATATTCTGTGTGACTCCTTGGCACAATATGATATATAGTGAGGATCTAGTAACTGTTGGCTGTTAAATATTCATTTTGTTCCACTTGTATTTCTCACAGACTTGCTTTGGATGTTATGTTTTTCAGGATATCTTAATTGTATAGCTTATATTAATATAAAACTGCCCTCTTCCCATTTAATTCTTTGTTTTTTTGCTTTGAATTCTGTCTGAAATGAAAATTGTTACATTTACCTGATAAATCTGTTTGATTTTAAACTGGTGGTGCCAGTTTTAGATCTATCAACGCATAGTTGACTTTCGTTTTACAATCTTGCATGTTATATAAAATTCTAAATTATAAAACAGTTCAAGTATACTTAAAATTATAGAGATAATCTAGGGAACATGCATGTAGCCTCCATCTAACAAAATTTAATATTTTGGCCTGTTTGCTCTAGAAACACACATACCACATGCGCTCACACACGTATGCACATGCACACAGTATTTCACACTATTCCAGTCCTAGGTGAAGCCCTCTTTGCTCATTCCTGATGGGTTCTTCTCTGTCTTCCTGCCCCTGAGATACTGTCCTGAAGTTGGTGTATATATCAATGCATAAAAGTTTTTATACTTTTAACACGTAAGTATTCGTAACGATATAATATCATTTTATGTGTTTTAAACCCTAAGCGAAGGCTTCTATACTCTAGTTTTATTCTATAACTTGCTCCCAAGCGCCTGGGTGGCTCAGTCATCTGCCTTCGGCTCAGGTCGTGATCCCAGGATTCTGGGATCAGGCTCCCTGCTCATCGGGCTCCCTCCTTCTCCCTCTCCCAGCCCCCCTTCTTGTGTTCCCTCTCTCGCTGTGTCTCTCTCTCAAATAAGTAAATAAAATTTTAAAGAAACCAACCAAACAGAAAACTTGCTCTCCTTATCAAGTTTTATTTTTTATTCTATTTTATTTAATTCATTTTTTGTTTTTTTAATCTCAGATGAATTATCCTTACTGTCTTCAGCTATTGTTCATACTGTAGATCTATTTTGATACTCTATCTAGAATGCCTTTCACTTTTAGTTTCCTCTAGTCTGTCTTTTTCAGAGGTATGCATTTCTTCTGATTGTTCAGGACAGTGTTCCATTGATCTGTAGAATTTTCTTCCTATAGTTCTTATGAATTTTTGTGTCCCTATGTTTGAATCAAAGCAAATGGTCCTAGGCCCAGTATTTGCCAATGGAGAAGGTGTATCAGCCTTGGTTTCACTCTTAGTCCAAGTGAATCTTGTTAAATAAATACTGTTCTCAAACCTATGGCTGCAAAGTAGATTATTGTGCAGATTCTTCATCTTATGTGTATTGTTCATTAGGTATTTAACTTACGCACTTATTCTGGTTGAGGCAGGGTCTCATACCCTCAATACCTGACTTCTGACAATTGGAAGCAAGGTAGGACGTGAAAAGCTGCAAAATCCTGCTAGCCACTGCTGACAGTTCCTAGCTCTACTCCTGTTTCTGTGCTGGTGCTTCCCTTTCCAGGACCCAATGTGGCGTCATCTATCTACATGATAGTGCATGTTGATTTCTGAATTGTGTTCTCTGTATGGATGTAGGAAGGGAGATACTAACTAAGGGAGAAGCTAGTATAGTGGCCACCTCAAAAGAAGTACCCATGGGATTGCCCCTGACTGATTCGAACCCTATGACCTTGAACCACCCGACAAGCAGGGAGTATGGGATGGAAAGAGTGTCCCTGTCTTTGTTGAAAGCAATATGCTCAGGGTCAGTATCAAATCTTGCATTTTCCCATTACTTTGATTCTGAATTTTGTTCTATATAGGTCTTATAGTTCATTCAAATTCTTTTTACATTAGCAACAAATTGACATTTTAGATTTTCTGTATTAGGTATTTTTTTTTATTATGTTAATCACCATACATTACATCATCAGTTTTAGATGTAGTGTTCCATGATTCATTATTTGCGTATAATACCCAGTGCTCCATGCAGAACGTGCCCTCTTTAATAGCCATTACCAGGCTAACCCATCCTCACACCCCCCTCCCCTCTAGAACCCTCAGTTTGTTTTTCAGAGTCCATCGTCTCTCATGGTTCACTGTATTAGGTATTTTTATTTTAATTTCACATGTATTTTTAATGGGATCTTAGGAGAAGTTGCATTGAGGTCTGCAATTCAGGTGTGATATAAAAATTGAAGTCCACAAACTGTCAGCTTTAATAATTGTACTATACTGATTTAGAACAGACTAGTTTGGGGTTTATACAACCTGGGGCAAAGAAGGAGTTTAGTGAAGGACACACCCATGTAACAAGGAAAGCTGAAAAGATCTGGAAAGAACCAGGGGAGAGATGTTTTCTTTAGTCACTCCTGGCCAAATGTTTCATTAATTTCTTAGTAGAAATTGAAAGTTAATGTGTGAATACACCAACTGAGATCAATTGACAGGGAATGTTTATCTTAAAGAGAAATGTGAGATCATGTCTGGGCTCAGCTACAGATTGAGAGCCAAGAACATTAGGAATGGCTGTTATGCGGTAGGATGTGCTGTGAATATACAACAGTAGTACTCTATCAGTAGATTAATTACTGCAGTATATACTCATTTTGTCAGTTCAGGTCCTTTGAGAAGTCGAGGTCAACATGAGATTATATATGATTGAGATTTTGGGGACAAATGCCAGTGAAGGGTGAAAGAGGAGGGAACAGGAGTCTGTAGGTTGAGCCTTTAGGTAGTGATGCGGGTTTAGGACTTGTGAAAGGAGAGAGGAAAGGAAGGGTCGGGTAGCAGGAGTCACAGACTGCAGTGTATTTCTGAGGAAGCTTTGACCAAGTTGATGGGAAGTCCTTGAGCAAATACTGTCCATTGGAAGAATCCAGCCTAGGACAGTAATGGGCTAGGTCTAGTAGCTCCCATCAAGCTCAGCCATTGGGTGGGAACACCAGGGGAAAGTATGGCCTTGCTGTGAATACCATGGTGGATCCAAAGAGTGGCAACTAGAAGCATTAGTCTCCATTAACACCTGCCATTTA